ATTTAATTCCTCTTTCTTTTTTTGCTCTTTTCTTCTATTCACCATCAAAAAACCCTTTATTAATTCGAATTATTCTTTTTCCCTTCCTTTTAATCACCTTAACTCCTAGAATTTCGATTTCTTCTTTGATTTTCACTTCAATGATCTTTTTTTTCCTTTTGAAGGTTCTTACATTCCATGTGCCTTATTTTTGTCTACTTCTCCTTCTAATTTTCCTTTAATCTGTTTTATCTTCACTCGTAATACTGCGTTTTGTCTTGTAGCTATTGTAATAGAGCCATCCTATGAACGGCTACTTCCATATTTTCTTTCCTGGGATATGAAAAATAGGACCTCCTTTTCCGTCGGTCTGTCGTTTGTCGTCTATTTTTGGTCTGTTTTGGAGTTTAATAAATGGTATATAAACTTTATAAAATAGCATACTTCTATTCCTCCACCTATATATTTTTTTAGTATTATATTGACAGTATGAACGTACTTTCAGAGTTCAGAGTCGCTATCTTTTTTAGCTTTTTTAGCTATTTAGGCATAGCTTAGCTAAACTTTACTTTTTTCGTATTATTTAGCTATTCATTACTAAACTTTGAAAAGCTCTGGCTTTTCGTACTTTTACTGAGTAAATCATGAATTTTACGTTCTTCAAGAATTATTTACGCGAGGAGAGATGACGAAGAACAACAAAAATTGAAGCTTGAAATGAAGGAAATGAAAACACAAATAAATTTAAATAAAACTGCTGAGCTTTACAAAATAATTTAAAAATTGCTCAAGATGAGTATAAAGATCAAGTGAATATTAACAAAAAACTGTGTGATAAAGACAATAAATTATTGGTTGATGCCTTGAAAGCAAAATACCTAACTACTGCGCAAGCGAATACCGTCTAAAAGAGGTAATTTTAAAAATGTATGTTCTAAAAATAAAAAAGTCCATCCAAAAAAGAAAGAGTGATTTCTTTTAACCAAAAGAAGAAAACTTGATTAAAATTAATATTTACAATAATTTATAATATAATCTTAATTAATGTTTATTTTGTTATATTTTTATACATTTTTACTTCCCGAGCGTAAGCTATCCATCGGACGAATGGCCGCTTTTATATTTTCTCGACGTTTCATTACCTCTCCAGTGCGAAAGAAGTAGTTTCCCGTTGCCGTCTGTTTGTCTGTCTGTCTGTCTGTCTGGTGTCTGTATCCACTTTTTATTAGACACGTAATCTCCGAAATTACTGGACCGATTGTTGTCAAATTTTGTATGTATATTAGAAATATCATATAGATGCTTAAAATTTTAATGAGCTATATTTTAAAATGTTTTGAATGTCATGTCATGTCATACAAAAATATACTCCTGTACTTGTAGTATACAAATCAGCTTTCAGTTTTTTCGCTAAACGTTCAAATTTTCGCCAAAAAAATATGCAAGGTATAATAACGTTACATTACCAACACGTCGTGAGAGTATCTGTGGCGCGGTGGCTATATCGGATAGTAGGCGGCCTACGGCGAATCCGCACGACCTTCCGAACTGGCATTTTCCTTTGTTTTTCTTGCATTGGTGTTACACTATGACTACTTTTCTTTTGTGCTGTGGCTAATATTATTTCTGGTCAAATTAAGAGTGACTCACCGCATTTTCTCCAATATGTGAGAAATACGCACGTCTTTATATAATAATGATAAAATAAGAGTTATAATATTCATAACATTTTGTTCGATTGTGGTTTAATTAGTAATTTTAGTCCCGTTTTGAGAAGACAAACTCATTCAAATCAAACTAATTTCTATGTAACATTCTTTCGATGTATAAACATACCACTTGAGCTTCAGATTGCTATTACTTAGTGCTGAAGGACAAGGGGTGTTATTTATGCCTCTGGTTTTTACTTTACAGCGGTTATTACAAAACGAAAATCGTAAAATCAAATTTTATAATTTTTTGAAAGATCTGGATTTGTCGAATTATACTTATAACCTTCGACCAATTCTTTACTCGCCAAATTAAGAACCTTGTCTTCTAAAAATGTGAAAACACCCACGTCTTTATTTAATTATGATTAAATAAGAATAATATTAATCATATTCAAAAAAGTTTGTTTCACTATGACTTAATTAATAATTTTAGTCTTCTGTTTTGAGGACCAACTCATTCAAATTAAACAAATTTCTAGGTGACATTCTTTCGATGTTTAAACATAAACAATCGAAATTAAGCATGCACACTGATAATAAATAATACACTCTTTTCCGTTGGTTATTTGCTTTGAATATTTTTCATATTGTCCGTATGTCTGCGGACGGCACCTCCTTGGAATTTGTCATTTATACCACTGGCCACTGGTTTTTACTATAAACTTTATAAACAATGAACGCCGTACTTTCTACATTCTGATCGACGGACGTCGTACTTTGTAAATTATGACACCGTACTTTAGAAACGATGGACGTTTTACTTATAAATTTTGAACACCGTACACCTCTGTTCAATAAAAAAGCATGTAGTTGCATTGTACTTGTGTAATTTAATCTTTAATTATTATTTAATATACGGTATGTATGACAACGTAGTAGCAACAATGAAAAGCCATTTTTAGATAGATTAAAAATTAGAAAATTTGTTCAAAAGGAGTTGTACGCTTTTTTTTCTAGGAAAAGGTGTATTTTATAAACGACGTCACCGTACTTTCTAAATTCTGAAGTCGTATTTTATAAATTTTGAAATGCCGTACAGTTATACAATTTTAGCAAACTGTGACTAAAATTGTCTGTGTTTTTTCTGAAACGGTGGATTTGTTTGATTGTACTTCAGAGGCGATGGAAGTTCTATCTAATAACATAAGATACATTTTTCGTTATTATTGTAATCCTACTATTGCTTTTTAGTTTTTTGTCCTTTCTTTTGCAGGCATTTCTCTATTTTTATCCCACTTCTTTTCCATTCAAATTTTATCTCATTTCCCCCTTGGCTTATTTCCTGATTTCTCTCCGTATAGTTCTTTATCTTTTGATTTTTTATAAATTTTGAACGCCGTACGTTATAAACAATGGATGTCGTACTTTGTAAATTCTGAACACTGTATATTTAATCCAATTCAATACGGAGAAACGTCATACTATATAAATAAATTATATAAATCCCACCAACAGGTTCATGATACTGATACATATTTCTGTATCTGTCGTTTATGAATACGCCTTTAATTTTTACCAACATATAGCAACATTTTAGAATTTAAATTAGAAACTGCTAAACCAAGAGCTGCGACACCTTTTAAGGTTACGTAAACATGGTAAGTCGCGAACTAAAATTTATCTGTTTATGCTCTCCAAAAACTTGATGACGTCATCTTACAATTTTACAAGCTAGCTGCTATCAGTGCATTCATGTTTTTTAAAATTACTCATTTTTCGGAAATTTTAAGAACACTCTACCGTTATTAGTATTGCACTGTACATATCCAAATTGGCATGCATATCCTTCAGTTGACAATAAAAAAATTTCCTTACTAAATAACACCTAAAACATACTTTACTTGTAGTTTAACAATCGACATATCTCTGTTTTAAGTTATAATATATAAAAATAATCAATTTCGTAAAATCAAATTTTATAACTGATCTAAAAAAACCGATTTGTTTCATTGTGCTTCAGGGGCAAGGAAAGATCTGTCTGAATAACTTTAGGCTAGGTTTTTTACTGTAATTAAAAAGTGAATCATCAGCAAGGGGATGTAAGAAGGCTTCTTAAAACTGTAAAAAGATTCGGATTTTTTCCTTAGATTATTCCATATACAGGGTGAATCACTAACTTCGCCGTACTCGATATGTCATTAATTATTAGAGATAAAACCAAAAATCCAACAGCAAAGTTATACGATTCTGTAAGGACTGTACTATAAAATTATTTTTTTCACTAGCAGCTGGACGCATGCAAATGTCGACTCATTTAGTGGTAGCAAATTCAACTTTTGCTACCACGGGTTCAAAAAGAAAAATTGAGGTTATGTACGCAATGTTTGATGTGATTATTTCTTAAAAAATGAACAAATGTGTGCTACAAACATTACTTGAGTATACGCATGGTAGTTGGTAGACGGTGGAAGATAAAATGATTAACTCAGCGACAAGTATAAACGGTTTTCTTTGTGTTGAAGATTTAGATCAAGTTTGATTAGAAATCAAAACAAAATCATGTTGCGTCAAAAAATTGAACGTTTATTTTTCAGTTTATTGTCTTATGGTTTCTACTAGTGAAAAAAATAGTATATTAACCACGGTTGCAAAGCCACTTCTAGACCTCGCACTTAGAGCCCTCGACGCTTCGCGTCTCGGGTTCTAATTTGCGCTCGGTCTAGAATGCTTGGCTCTGCAACCTTGGCTAATAATATACTATTTAACTATCCAGAGAGTTCTATTTTTAAGTGTACACACATCTTAGTTTTTTCAAATGAAACAGCTATCCTATATATTTCTACATATTCTCATTAGCCTTTTCGAACGAATCAGTGCCGTGTGTTAATAAAGCAAATACCAAGTGACTATTAATATTTATAATGTTTTCGTCAGGTTGGCAACAGACTTAAAATTTTATGATGGCATACCTACTTGAATGTCAAAGTGAAATTTAAATTGACAGCTGTGAATTGACGTACTAGCACGGATGCCAATAATTCAGAATTGCCAACACAAAAATTTGCGTCAGTCCTCCGGTATTTGCAAAAAAGAGCAAATTTAACATGAAATGTGAAAACAACAACCCGACACCGTTAAATACTGTCGGAAACCAAAAAGAGTCACATCGCGATACAATAGCAAATGGTGTGTGTCGACCCAATTAGTTCGAATAATCGCAAAAGCGTCACCTTTTTAAACAAAAAAAAAAACCTTTGCGTGTTTCGCGGCAAAACCTGTGTTCAACAAACTGAAAATTAATTTTTCCGCGGCACCGCTGCACACCAACATGTGTCTATTCGATCCACTGACATTAACGACCCATTTCAGGTGCAAAGCCCCGAATCGTTTCCTCGAAGACCTTCCACAAACCTCAGTGATAATCTGTTTCCACAACGAAGCCTGGTCCGTCCTGCTGAGGACGGTCCATTCGGTCCTCGATCGTTCACCTTCACATCTCATCAAGGAAATCATTCTGGTGGACGATTTTTCGGACATGGAGCATCTGAAACAGCAGCTGGTGGATTATTTCAGCGACGAGCCCAGAGTGAAAATAGTTCGTGCGAAAAAACGCGAAGGGTTGATCAGGGCCAGACTGCTGGGTGAGTGACGGCGATGTGGTTTCGTGTCGTTCGTGTTAAGATGTCGATGATAAAAGGGCAAGAGCTCGAGGTTGTTAATAAAACGGAAGCGCGATAAATTTTAGACAGTTTTTTATGAATTATTAAAAGTGCTAAAGGAATATGATACGTTCTTCAAAGGGGGAAATTAATGTGTTTATAAGAGAATTAAGGGCATTTTGAATAAACACGAAATTAAAATTAGTCCGCTGTTTTAGCTCTGCTGACGTAGGCGAGGAATTCGTATTTACGGGATCAAACGCGATTTGACGTCAGCGTGAAATTAATCATTAGCTTTAAATTGGGTTTTGTAAAGGTTTTTAGGTGGGCTATGTTGTTCACTGAGAATTAAAAATACACTGAATATTCAAAATTTTTAGAAGATCATCGGGTCCGAAAATTCCTCACCGGTAGGAAAACTTGGAAAAAATGTTTTCTATTTTAATATAGTCACATTTAAAACCAAACATAGAACAGCGAAATGGTAAAAATTTTGATTTTGATTTCTAGATAATAAGAAACATCACTAAGATTATTAAGTAACTTGTATATAAATTTAATGATAATTTTAGTAGCTCTGGTGCTTAGAAGGATGCAATTAAATCTACGTAAAAGCATCGAGGTGGACAGACGCCATCTATCAAATATGAAATAAATTTCAAAAACTTTCTTTGTATTCTCTCCAGATAATGAATTTGGGTGGCATAAATAGGATTCCAGATCAAAGCACAATATTCTAAGCGAGATCTAACTAGAGTTAAACAAAATCATTAGAGAAATCTCTGAATTTATTATTTCCGTATGAAATTAGTCTATTTCTGTCATTTTGCAAAAGTGCACAATCTGTTAATGGTTTTATATCACGAATAAGCTCCAGGTCATCACCAAAGAGTAACTTTTAGCTGGATATTACATCAACCGCGTTGTTGATAAAAATGGTAAACAGTAATGGTCCTAGGTTCGAACCTTGCGGTACCTCAGACCCAGGTGAAAAGGAATTAGATACAAAATTGCGTTGTTTAGCAAATAATTCAATTGTTGTAAAATTATTGTTTTTAAATGTTAATTTGAATTTTTTTCAATAATAATATTGATAATAATTAAATCGGAATATATTGTTATTTCTAGAATATTTTGTAAATTATTTGGAAGCAGCATTTAAATCAATCGGTTAGGCTGACACCTTTATTTCAGTTTATGTACCTTCAGTTCTATCATTTTTACAATGATTGGGCACTAGTATGATTTTTGAATGAAGTGTCCCACGCCAGGACTATGACAGGTAATAGTATTGTCAAGGCTAGGTCCGTCTTCTGATTTTCAGTATTTTTATTTTGAGAATTTATTTGACCATGTTAGGTAAAAATAAAATAATTTATGCGTTGCATTTCTAAATTCAGAAAAAATGTACTCCTTCTGTCCGGAAATATGGTATATGTTTTACAAAATTATTATAATTAACGAGTGATAACCAGCAAATTAGAATCAAGTAATTTTGTTTGCAACTTGTATAATAATGGAACATGTTATAAATAGTGGACTGAGATCTACGTTCGTTTCTATTAAAAAAGTGACCAAGAAAATTACTACAATAACAACAAAATAAATCGATAGCCACTGAATTTAAAAAATAAGAGATTTTAGATATATATTATAATAATCTGATGTATTTCTTTTTCATTTATTTATTTATTTAATTTTAAGCATAAAATTCCTCATTTTAATAAATCCAAACTTCGTCGTGAGGGAAGGGTACCAACGAGGTTGGTATGTTCTCCGGAAGCTCTAAATAAAGTCTCATTGCATATAAATTGAAATGTATTGTTGTTATAATATTATTATTACGAAGTACACCCTTACCCCGCCCCGGTACGACGCTTATGGCCGTCGAGAGCTTTCTGGTCGTACGCGACGTGTGCAGAAACGTCTAGAAGCGGCGCTCGAAAGCCTGGAAGCAGAAATCGCGATGGATATTCGAGAAAGACCTCGATTGCCGAAGTATGGGTTTAAATAGAGGCCACCTGCGCCGGAAATAGTTTGTACATAATCGCTGTAATAGTTAGTCGTGTATATTCGAGTTGGTAGGGAAATAAATTGTTGAGTTTTACCCACGCCAATTTTATTCGCCCGTTCAACGTAACAGTATTATTATTAAATAAAGTTACAAATGTATACCATAATTTCGGATAAAAATAAATTTTAAATGTATACTATATTTTCGGACGGAGGGAGTACAATTTAACAACGGAACATTTGACTACTAGTGCTATTTAAAAAAGAATCAAGTTACCCCTGCATCTCAAAAACAAATGAAGTATAAAATTTGAAAAAATTGCAGAAAATATAACTTGAGTATTCTTAGGAACAGCACAAATTTCAAAAAGATTCAACAAACCGCGACATTCAACTGCGTTTTAGCGATTCTGTATATACGCACAGTCTATTAATAATAAAAAAAAAATTAAGTATTTTATCAAAACCAGCAGAAACGATACGAAATTTGTAAAATCGTAAGAATTAAATTGGGTAATTCACAGCCAGAGGAATTGAATGTTTAATTAGGATCAGAGGCAGTAAAAACACTATTAAAAAAATGTGCTAAAACCATCGACAATGTCAACAGGTATAGATATTTCAGATTTTTTATGAAACCTGGAATTCTCGCCCTCCATTTCTTATTATACGACCAAAATTTCTACGGATCAGAAGAGATTTCATTTTAAATAAATAACATTTTGCATGTTTGTTTTAATGTGTGAAAATTTGTATAAGGAAATATCGATAATTGCCCCATAGCTGCAAAAGCCATATTTCCTTGCAAAAATGTACCATTGTAACCATGTTTTAAGTTTCTTGTTGTGAAAAGATGGCTATGTATATTTTAAAAAGGGCAAAATATAGCCCCGCCCACCCGCCCTATCTCTATTCTGATGATTTTTTTATTCGTCGTAGACGGAGAGGGCGGAGCTTAATTGCGTAAGTCTTATTTCTCAACAAGAAATAAAAAAGACCTTTTTGAGTATCGTGTTGTTCAAACAATACTATGTTAAATTAAGCCCCACCCATATCCATCCCAAGCTCGATTGTGATAAATTCTTCCATCGTTGTCAGGCCGAGAGGGGGAGCCTAATTGCAAAATCGATATTTCCTTATACAAATTTTCCATTTTAAAGATGTTTTAAGTTTCATGTCGTGAAAAAAATTCTGCACATATTAAAACAAAAAGGCAAAATGTAATATTGTATTAATGAAAAGTAAAATAAACAATAACAATTATTGCTTCAAAGGAGTTGGTAGTTATTTATTATGAAATTGTATACAATTAATAAGATCCTGGTTAAACCCAAGATGGAAAATTTGAAAAAATCTGTTATTAAATTTAGAGATTGATACGGAGGATTCGAATGATTTATAACATTATAACTACAATAAATCATAAAATACAGAACTGACCAGTCGGTAGCAGAATGGAGCTATATAAATTAATGAAATTGGCTTTGGTAAAATTGAAATGTTTTGAATTTGAATTCATTTGAAAATTACAAATAGCTTTAACTTGAAGCTGACTTTATATTAGTGACTTTGTATTTCCAACGCTGGATGGTAACGATCTTCTACGGTTAGTGGATTGATTGATTTATCGACATCAGGAGTTAAATTGGAGAAAATAAAAGCAAGACATCGATTGTAGATATTAGGGGATAGTGGGATAAATTAAGAATTAATTACAAATAAAAGAACATTAAAGTCACCGATGATAATTACTTGGTTGTAATAAACTTCCTCAACATTACTTAGGAGATCTAAAAAAAGTTCATACTCATCGAATGAGATAGAAGGAGGAATATAGACTATATATTATGAGAAGAATATTTTTAAACGTTGAAGAAATTTTCACACAGATACAATCTACACCCTGATTTCGAAATGTATGCAATAAAAAATACTTTAGTAATACTTTCTGGCGTGGCTGATGGAAACGCCAGGTTAGCCCGCGAATTGTGGATCGAGCGCTTTCCGCATCTTACCTTCAAGCCTCAAACTCACGAACGTGGCCGAACGAATACTGCAAGCTGAAGAACAAATTTTGGAACGCGGCGAAGAAGAACCCGACATCAGCACTCGTCCAGTTCCAGCTGAAATTGGAGTTTCACAGTTTGTAGTGTATCGTACATTAAAAGAACAAGACTTAGATCCATACATACCACGTTCAAAAATTGCAAGTTTTGGAACGCGCTCATTTTCCACGTCGTGTAATTTACAGCAAAGTCGTGAACGCCCTAACTTTTTAAATTGCATTCTGTTTACGGATGAAGCAGGATTCACTAGGAAAGCTGTTTTCAACAGCCACAACACTCACATTTGGTCCGATGAAAATCGGAAAAACGAATGATAACCAGCAAGAAGTCGGTTTTTCTTTTAATTGAAACTGAAAGTGTTTACATCGTTTTTATTCGAACGTTTTTCTATCTATTGTACAAAAAGTGGATCAGTGGGATCGCATCGAGCATGGTGCATTCTACTTTTAATTTGTTTTTTCTATATTTGCACATTACTAAGGTACGTGATGTCGTGATTACAATTATTGCATATATTTCGAAATCACCCTGTATAATAGGAACAGCAGTACTATCATTTCTAAAAACTAGAAAGTGTTGAGAAAACAATTTATTAGAAGAAATATCTGGAGAGCGCTACGTTTCAGACGGGGCTGTAAAATCGAAGTTAGAAGCAGGTCGTTTAACTATTGCTCAGTCATATAATTTTCAAATTTCTACCGTGTGTTGATTAATTACTTAGATCAAAGAATGCTATGCGAATTTAAACGTATGTCTCCTCGATTTCGAATTCTTTTCAGATTATGCAATTAAACAAAGACATGTGTAATGTTGGTTGCGTACTGACATAAATCAATTTACAAACGAAGGTTAGCTCTTGCTCGGTTAGGTAGCCTCATTTATTATAATAACTAACTGAATTATATTCAACATTGAATTAATTTAACTTTTAATACGTATTCAGGTGCTACGCACGCCACGGGCGAAGTCCTCACCTACCTCGATTCGCACTGCGAATGCACCACGGGCTGGATAGAGCCCTTGCTGGACCGCATAGCCAGGGATCCCACGACGGTCGTGTGCCCTGTCATCGACGTGATCGACGACACTACACTCGAGTACCATTTTCATGACAGCGGCGGCGTTAATGTGGGCGGCTTCGATTGGAATCTCCAGTTCAATTGGCACGCGGTGCCCGATCATGAGAAAAAAAGACACAAGAATCCCGCCGAACCGGTGTACAGCCCGACCATGGCAGGAGGTCTCTTTAGCATAGATAAGGTAAGCAAAACCGAGCAGAACGTGTTCATTTTTTATGCTATAATTAATATTGCGTCAAAATATCGCGAGTGGCGAAGGCATTAGCAAACAGGATTAAGACGAACTTAAGCTGTGATTGACGCGGCGAACTCAGAAGACGTCAATCCAAGTCTGTAAACTAAGATTTTAATAGATGCGTTATTAGTGAGATAATTAATACACAGTTGCCAAATTTGATACCATGAAACTACTTCGAGATTTTGTTTCACCGTTTTTCTATTTAAAAATTTAGTTTGTAATCGCTCGCTGTGCCGGCAAGTCTTATTAGAAACGAAGTAATGAATGGTAAAATCGACTTCTGAAACAATATTGACATGAATACCTCTATACTCTCAGTATTGATTCATTGAACAAGTGCCACTTAAGTTAATATTTAACGAGGTAATTAGCAATTTTTTAATCGGTTATTATTAATAGGAATGTATTTGTAGGTCCAACAACCTGTACTTCACTGTAATTATAATTCTTTATATATAGCCTTATGGCTTTTATCATTATGGAGCAAGTGTCGTAATCGTCGTATCAGCACGACCTTACCGTGAATATAAAGTTCAGCGACTAATACCTGCTTCATATTATGCAGAAATTTATTAAGCGTAAGCACGAGAACTCATAATAAATTTTGGATACTTAAAACTACGTTGATGTTGAGAAGTTTTTGTGGCGTACGTGTGGAGCTAAATTAGGGTTAAGTACACAAAGTAGTTCAAGTTATTAATTATGAATCGAAATTTCGAACGAAAACCACCGTTGAAATTTAAACCCGTAATTTCAGCATGTTGTACACAAATTATAGTAATCATACTTGTGGCTTTCTCGAAAATACACTTTGTAAATTAGTGGTAGTTAATATAAGTGCTGAATGATTATAATTGATACATTATTTACTATTTTTGTTTAAAGAAATGTTAGATATTTGAATAATGCACACATTACGTGGGTGTCGGCACGTTGATCGTTACGAATATGCATATCGTATAATCAAGAAAATTTATAATGCTGTAATCCTTGAACAAGATTATGTTGGATATTCGATTCAGTTTACAATTGATTTACTAAATTTACCGCAACGGAGTAACGGAATATTTTATCAAAGGATGACTTTATTGCATTTTTTTAACTGGATATGTTCAGGGATTTTACATGCTTTATTTATTTTCAATTTTTTATGCAAATTATAAAAAATATAAAATAATAATAACGACATTTAAGAAATTGGTCTAAAGTTATTTAGACAGAACTTTCGTACAGAGAGATAAGTAAATATAAATTCTTCGAAAAACTAGAAAATTAAACTTTGCGAATACCCCCTATAAGTTAAAATAAACATATGTGCATGCTATACGTATGTTTCAGGTGACGTCATCAATATTATTTTTAACGCAAAGACAGATATCAATTTGCATAGATACAGTGTAATATTAATATAATAATAACAATACTGTTTACTCAAATTTTTGGGAAAATTAAATAAATTGCCTCATTTGTCAATTTTTACTTCCCGAACGTAAGCTAAAAAGTATAGTAATCGAGTCCATCGGCTGAATAACCACTTTTATATTTTCTTGACGTTTCATAACCCCTACAGTACGAAAAAAGCAGCCTCCCGCTTTCGTCTGTCTGTCTGTCTGTCTGGTGTCTGTATCCATTTTTATTAGACAAGTAATCTCCGAAACTACTGGACCGATTGTTGTTAAATTTTGTTTGTATATTAGAAATATCATATAGATCGGTAAATACTACCCAAAATTTGGATAATCATCCCCACCAACAATTTAGTCTATGCTTGTAGTGTACGAATTCAAATTTTCGCAAAAACATCTGCAAGGTATAATAACATTATATTACCTACCAACACGGCGTATGAGTCGCCGTGGCGCATAGGCTAGAACGGATAGTAGGCGACTTACGGCGAATCCGTACGACCTGCCGTTGTGGGTTCGATGCCTAACTGGCGTTCCCTTTTTTTTTGCATTTGTAGTCCGCTATGACTACTTTTCTTTTGTGATGTGAGTAGCATTATGTTGATGACTTGATCACAAATCTGTTATTGGTCAGATTAAGAATGAGTCACCCCATTTTGTCGAACACGTAAAGAATATGCATGTCTTTATATATATAATAATGATTAGATAAGAAACATAATATTCATAACATTTTGTTAGATTGTAGTTTAATTAATAATAATTTTAGTCCTGTTTTGAGAAGACAAACTCATTCAAATCACACTATTTTCTACGTGACATTCTTTCGTATGTATAAATATAAATGAACACTTGAGGTTCAGATTGCTATTACCTAGTGCTGAAGGACAAGGGTTATTTATGCGTCTGGTTTTTACTTCATAGCGCTTATTACAAAACGAAAATCGTAAAATCAAATTTTATACTCCTATATTTTTCAAGAGCTGGATTTGTCGGATTATACTTATAGCCTTCGACCAATTCTTTACTGCTCAGATTAAGAACCTCGTTTTGTAGAAAATGTGAGAATACCCACATCTTTATTTAATTATGATCAAATAATAAGAATAATAATAATCATATTCAAAATATTTTGCTCCACTGTGGGTTAATTAATCATTTTATAGGTCCTCTGTTTTGAGGGCTCATTCAATTTAAAAAAAATTCTACGTGACATTCTTTAGAAATATAAACATAAACAATCGAAGTTAAGCATGTACACTGATGATAATAATACACTTCTTTTCCGTTGGTTATTTGCTTTGAAAACTTTTTATATTATCCCTATGCCGGCGGACGGCACCTCCTTGGAATTTGTTATTTACACCACGGGTTTTTACTATACAGGGTGTCCCAGAATTCGCGCCATTTCCGTGAATGACATGTTCCCTGTCCCGAACTGTGCCGTAATTCGCAAAAAGAATTGTCCAGGCTTTAACCGTGTGAGAACTGGAAGCCGATTAAGTTGACCAATAGAGAGGCTGCTTTTATATCCGAACGTTTCTATGTTCAAAGTTACCTATGCCAAGAACAAAAAATCCGGTAATACTAAAGTTGAATGAATTTTTTCCGAATCCCCCTCCGTCAACAAAAGGAAACAGAAGTGTGGTTATAAATTTAATCATTTTGACAATTGTTTGTCATAAACTGTCACGAAGTTCATCACTGACCTGAACAGACGCTTCTGCCCCAAAAGATGACTGATTAATGTACACAGAGACGTCAAGGTTTACTTTAAGGCAAGTAGCATGGGACAGAAGTTATTTCTGCTGCCATTCTAGTTAAATTGTGTTTAACTGGGCTGTACATGTCATAAAAGAAGCTGTTTCATTTCATCGTAGGCAAATAATACATTTATTACTATTCGACATAGTGTAGATACCGAAGAGCAGGTATTAGAAGTCATTTTCTTAGACCCCCGTGAATAATGTGTTGTTCTTTTTAACGAAAAGTAGTGCATTTTCAGAATTCACTATGCATCATATCCCTGATATTAAGTTTATCGTTATTTCTAAAAAAGAGTACCACATGTTCATTCAAAGAACGTAATTAAGTGGAGTGCCGTAACTAGAGAATATTTAGGTATAGGCGAACTTTGCTTTAGGCGCCCCTCCTTTACACATAAAAAATGCAATTTAACAGAAGAATTTTGTTTATATTTTTTAATAAGTATACAAAACAGATACTAAGTATGATAAAATATAAAAAAAGAAACAAAAAAATCATTTTTGTTTAGTATAACATAATTTTTGGACGAATTTGGCGCCCCTTGTCGTTGGCGCCCCTAGGCAAGGGCCTACTCCGCCTATAGCTAGTTTCGGCACTGATTAAGTGTACTAAAACATAAATATCGCTTTTGATTAATCGGTGCTTATGATTTTCAATAAACAGTATCAATTTTTACCGAACAGCTTTGTTGCTGATACCTAATCTAAGCAACGAAAAAAGAGACGAGACTCCACTTCTCTGGTGTATTGAAATCATAGGTATCTGCTGTGGTGTCAATCAGGTGGGGGAGATACTGAAAACGGAGACTTGTTCAAGAATAATATTGATGTTGCACATGATGATTTAAAACAGTTTCTTTAAAGTTGTGAGTACTTTCTAGAGATTGAAAAGATACGAATAAAAAATGTGACAAAAATCGTTTAGTTGCATTTTTTTTTAAGGACAATACAAATCAGTACTAAGTTATTGATGTCTTATTCATACTAGTATAAAGAATATTTGGAAATGATGTTAATTTATGGAGAATGTAAACGCTCTGCAGCCACTGCTGTGCGCGAATATACAGGTCTTTTCCCCAACCATCGGCTCCTTGACCAGCATGTGTTTCGTCGTTTGTTGCATCCAGCAAAAGAAGATATATCTTTTTAGCCTATTCGGAAAGGCCTTCCTGGGGCTACACGGATTATACGCGTAGACGGTGAAGAACAAGTGGCACAAATGAATGGATGCTCAAGATCGATCATGCATCGTTACAGACAAAAATCTGTATCCTTACTATTGACGAAAGTGCAGCATCTGCGATGAGCCGACTGCGCGACGAGTGCATGTTGCTGAATGGTTACTGCGACAAAATGAACTAAATCCTGATTTTTCACGGCACATTCTTTTCGCCGACGAATGTTCATTTTTCCGAAAAGGAATATTTAATGCGCACCATTGGCACTTCTGGGCAAACGAAAATCCACATTTCGCTAACATGAGAGCATATCAAGAGCAATACTATTAATCTATGGGCTGGAATCGGGTAGTCGGTTGGTCCCAGATGCTGCACTCTCGTGTAATGGTAAGGATGCAGTCTTCTTTCTTGAAGGATACGATGAGTGGTCGATCTTGAGCATCCACTCATTTGCGCTACGCAGTGAACACTTCTCCTAGGATCCGCTTCCATCAATATTATTCTTGAATAAGTCTCCGTTTTCAGTATCTCCCCCACCTGATTGACACCACAGCAGATACTTATGATTTCAATACACCAGAGAAGTGGAGTCT